TCCTACTGGCCATTGATGACTTGTATATATATAATTACATATATACATATAATTATATATATATATGTAATTATTTATATATATATATATAAGTATATATATATATACAAGTGTATATATATATATATAACTATATATATATATACAGATTATGCTCTTCCTATCATTGAGACGCAGAAATCCCGAAGTGTCTCATCGGACCCAAATGGAACGAGTTTCTCTGCCAGGGTCAGCTACACGCTTACTCAAGGCAATACTTGTCATATATATATATATATACATATATATGTAAGTATGTATGTGTATATATATATATGTGCTTTTACATATACACTAATATACACGCACATACGCATGCACAACCGACTACCCATAGGCGTTGTTATGTCATCATATGTGTATGAACAAGCCGACGAAGCCTTCATAATAATGCCATTAACTACAATCATTTATCCAAAAACTGTAACTTGCATAATGATACTGCACCCTCGTGAAGACTGCTTTAAAACGCTGCTTACGCGAAGAATGATGGGCCTGCCATGAGTTCTATCCTCCACATACATAAATAGTACTACCTATGTACGCCACACTTTTGCATTAGCCAACTTCCGTCCGTCAGCCTGCCTGCAGCAGACGCCCAGCACCCAGGCGCAAGAGCTCACAGTCGGAGTACACAGCAGCCTGCCCGTGAAGAAAGAAAAAACCTAAGGTTTCAGTGACGAAAGGCTGACTCAGCCTGTGAGGAACGTTTGTTCATCGCCGCGCCTCCCGCGAAGCTTGATAATGCTCCACCAGGTGCACAAGGTCCCAGTCGATACCTTGAATTTGTCCAACGGTTTCTTGATGAACACAAAACGGCTTGAAGTCGAGCACTGCACTCCTGAGAGCCAGGATGCTTCTGGCCGGTTATCAGACACAGGTCAGCTCGAAAACTTGCCAAACGTGTAAGCAGTCTCGCAAGAGTTCAGTCGAAGCTCAAAGGGTCATCTCCAATCACTGGAACTAAAGCTTTCTCCAGCTTGTCATGAAGTGATTTTAGATGTGTGGTGTTCGCCTTGGCCAAGGTAGCCGCGCGGCCTTCTGCAAAGTGGCGTGAGCGGCCATCATAGTTGGGGAGCAGTGTCTGCTCTGCTGGCGCACGCACTTGGATTCTTGCAACAGACGGTGTCTCTGTTGCGCTTTGTGTTGAGTCTTCACGAGTAGTGCATCCGAAACCGAGAAGCACACTAGCAGCTGACTGGATTGTGCGTGGAAAGTCCTTGGAATAACAAGGACATGAGGCTGTGGTTCTGGACACAGCTAAGTTGGAGCTCAGAGTCAGTACTGAAAGCCCGGATCTCGAAGTCGCCATAGCGTCTTCGCAGCTCGGCTCCGGCTTTCTGGCACTGCTGAAATCCAAGCCTCGTGAGCTGGCCGAGGTTGCCTCGTTTTGCAGAAGCATATGCACGCACTCTCTTCAAAGCCGTGCCGTCGTTCTAAACCCCGAGGAAACTTCTATTGATTGGCCTTGCATTTTGCAGCTTGTGCAGTCATGATTCCATCTCCCACAAAATGTGCATACGCATTCTTCCCACTGCCGCTGGCTCGTTCCACGCTGACTCTGCTGATGTCAAGGAGCTCGTGAGTCGTTGGGAGCAGAGCAGTCCACTTGGGACCAAGATGTGACACGTCGAGCTGGCCTCGTGTCGACTTGCAGGTCTTTCCGACTCGGCTTACGCTTCCATGGCAGACAAGGAGCCGAACTTGTCACGAACCGGCGTGCGGTCTCCATGACGCATCAGGACGACCACCTGGCCCATGCTCAATGTTTGCATCGACTAACTGACGACATGGAACGCGAGTCGCTTGTCAATGTCACCCAAGCACTACCACTGCTCCTAACAACAGATCGTTGCAGTTCTTGCCTGCATCGGATTTTTCGCAAGTGGAGGCGGCTTCAGTGTGGAGTCAAAGGCAGTGATGCGGGTCTCGTCGAGCCTAGATTGACAATGAACTTCGACTTATTATGTTTTTCTGTTATTGTTGCTGCTGCTGCTGGTGTTGGTTATTGTCGTTATGGCAGTTATTGTTGTTCCTGCTGTTCGTGCTACTATTGTTGCTCTCATTGCTCTTGTCGCTCTCGTTGCTGTTGTTGCAGTTGTCACTGTAGTCATAGTCGCAGTTGTCGTTGTAGCTGTTGTTGTTGCTGTTAAGCCGCCATGGTTCACAGAAGGCATCTTAGCTGTGCTAACCGAGCTTCGGGCGCAACTTTAAAGGTTTGCAACACGCTCCTTTGCGAAGCGTAAAGGACGTCCTTCTGATTGAGCCATTTGAATGTGCCTCGGGGCTTCGTGCCCTGTGGACTGCCGGGTTCCAATTCCCGGGCCTGTGACAGCAAGCTCTGGACGAGCTGGAGGCAAGCGGTAGGGTTTCCACTTTTCCGCGTGTTGGGGGGAACAGTACTTGGGTTTCACCGGGTTTTGCGAAACAAACGGATGGCGCGCCGACTGTGCCTCAGTGTTTTTCTCCCGCCGGTGCTCGTTTGTTTACAAGACGACTTGCCGCACGAAGCAAGTCGTCTTCTGGACTTGGGTACTTTGAAGGAAGCCTTCGAGACGATGTTTTCCTTTTTCTTCGACTTTTCAACTTCTGCACAAGACGCCCAGGGACAGCAGCTGAAGGTTTTTTCTGCACATCTCTGTTGGCACTTTGGTTTCGTGCTTCCACGAGCACTCTCTTACAAAACGGACCCGGATCGCCTGTGCTTCTCGCGCAGTCCTCCTCGGAAACTGCGCCTTTTCCTAAAAGCAAGGTAGACTGCCACCGGTTGCGACAAAGGCAGTGCGATCGAGTTCCTCCGTCACCGTTGAGAACCTTTGGCGCAGCACGGCTGTTGAGCTGCCAGCGCCTGGGTACAGTCGTTAAGCGGACGCGCTTGCTGCGGTATGGGTGTCGGGCTACGGCTACGGCCCTCCCAGTTGTGTTCGTTACTGTCGTGTTACCGACGGGGTCAGGCAGTGCTAGGAGTGACGGCTTCCGTGCTTCGACGACGAATCGTCCTTACGGCCCATCGCTTGTAGTCGGTTGTTACCTAGTGTGGGAACCCTGGGAGACGGCTTTTCTGAGTACTGAGTACGGCCCACCGGCTGCCGGTTCGTGAGTATTGGACGCAATGACTCACACTGAAGGTGACGGAGGTTACATGACGAATTCGACGAAGACCTTGTCAGCCTAGCTGTCTCATGAGGAGTCGCAGGCACCGCCCGTGACAAAACCAGGGCACCGCCCTTGGGAACTGATGGCAACGTCAAGTGACCTGCCTCCTTGAAGCAAGTGCTGAAGAGCTGCCACTGCAGTGTACAGTATGCAGTGACACGTTTTCACTTAGGCCCTACTCTTGTAACTTTTCTAGCACAGGCTCCTCTGTTTCCTTCTCTGAGGGTCGGCAGGTCAGCCACTAGGGTGCGGCGCTGGCTTACGGCACGTTCGGAAGTTTGTGATGCGCCCGCAATGAGCAGAGCCCGCTCGCTTAGTGTCCAAAAACAATTGTTGCTGTTGCTGTTGCTCGCGATTTCCTCTCAGTGGGCAGTTCGGGTGAACAGAACGCTCAGGTCTAGGATGTCCCAGCCGAAACCTTACCTCCCCAAACCTATAACACTAAACCCTACGATCCCAAGCCGAAAACTCTAAACTGAAAGGACTCGGCTTTCCTTTGCTGCTGAAAGCACAGCATGAACTGTTCTGGAACTACGGAACTAAAAGCACAAAAACCGACACGCATAGACCGAAAAACTCAACAGCCTTTAAGCCCTAAACCCTAAAGATTCCCAAGGCCCGAAACTCTCAAGCCCCAAGCCCGAAAAAACTCTGCCAGGCCGGGCTCTGCTTGCCTGTCCCAGAGACCATAAATCACATGACCTGGAAACTTGCAACCCGCGAGCCTCTAACCGAACATGACCTAACCCCCCACCCCAAACTCCTGGCGCTTGAATCGCCGGTGCTTGAGTCGCGTCTTGAATTGAATCACAAATGCATGCAACGCTGGCGTGCTTGTAGCAAGGGTGTTTGAATCCTAGTGTGGGAATCGGTGCCGATGCTCGAATCGCGCATCTACGGAACTACACATGTCCCAGAGTCTGCTTCTGTTCCACGGTGCATCAACACTCCAGGAGACGGGCTCTCTGAAGAGAAAATGCATCCATGAATGCCGAAGGCGCATCTTGTGGCGAAGCTCGCGTCCTTGCTGACTCTCTTCGTGGTAAGCGTCAGTAGCCAGCACCCGCTTCAGGGCCATCGCATCCACAGGAGGTTGCACCGACTTTGTGAATACTGCTATGTTTCAAAGGTAGACTGAAGGGGCAGAGGCTCGAGTTGCTTAAAAGGCTTCGAGCAAGATTGGATCACCAGCAGTGCCGTGATGCGAGGAAGTGCCTGTCAAGGATGCCTTTGGGTTCCTCACTACATCAGGCTGGCAATGGTCTGCCTGCGGCGTCGCATCCCTCACCCTCAAGAGCTTCTCTATGCAGATTGCCGCATAGGTATGCACCTCACAGCTCGCAAGAAACCAGGATGAGCTAATCTTGAAGAGCCTGAGCTTCCGGCCACTGCGCTCTCAGCGGTGATGTGGCTGCCTCAACTGACTGTACGCCGGCACGAGCTGTCGGGAAGAGATCGAGACACCAAGGATCTGACAAATAGCAGGCAACACTTGACCTGAGATCACCGTCTGCTGGAAGTTGCATCAAGACGGCCCCTGGATGCATACCCTAGCGCCGAGCCGACTTGTTCTCTCGGGAGCTGATTTCGAAACACGGTCACAAACCTGAACGAAACGGAAAGGGAGGCCACTGGAGCATCACAAGCACAAAAAAAGTCGTAAGTCTCTGACTTCAAGCAGGAAGCTCGAAGAACGGGTCGTTGGGACTGCACAGCGAACTCGAGCCGTATTGAATTGTATGCTAAAGACTTCAGAACACGATATTGACACTGTCGCTGTCTGCACAGTCAGCCCCACCAATGGTTCCGCGGTCAGCTCCGGCGCCACCAAGGATGTGAAAAAGTCAAGCCTTCGTGGCAACTGCGACACCCTGTACCTTCTTCTGCAATCTCTGATGTGCGGAACTGCGTCCAGCTAATGATGTATGTACACGTCCGGAAAGGGCTTGGTACTTTGCAAGTTTCGCCTGCCTGTCAGCAAGGCAACTGCATAGGTCTTCCAAGCCTGTTAGCAAATGTTGTCGGTATGTCGTTTCTCTGCAGAGCGACAGTGCTATTTAGCTGTTTAGTTGAACTCGAGGAAGTCAACGCGACGTTGTAAACCTTCCTCCTGCTTCCGAAACCCCTCGCCGAGGAAAACTGGACATTCATATCTGTCCAATGCATAGAGAAGGAGAGAGAAAGACACACACTTGTTTCACAAAAACGACCACTTCAGTTTAAACACAACATCGTTGAGCTAATGTCGGAACAGGTCTATTAGTCAACAAGGGAGAGGGCCGCTACACCATTCCGAATTCCAGTTCGCGCATGTATGTCATGCCAGCGAGCTACGAATGATATGCATGTCGGCACCTCGGCATCGTGTCTCATTCGCACTCATTCGTGCAGCAGGCTTGGAAACGGAGCACGTCCAGCAGCAGACTGCAAAAAAAAGATGCACGCACGATCTGCTAACTTGACTTTCGGCCAAGGCACACATTGACGTTCTGGTTAGTCACAGTGACACCTGATGACAACAGAGTGTCTAATTGCAGGAACTACAAGACTCATCTTGTAGGACCACTGGGCGGTTCGTCACAAGCAGAAGGGACTCTGAACCCGGTCTGCCAGGGCAATGGTTTCTGAAAGCTTCAAGATGCATCACGTGTAGCGAGATTTGAAGAAGTTGGGGCTCCAGATGGCAGAAACAGTCTTAGAGACGTTGCATCCTCCTAATCTTGCGCTTCCAGCACGGCACCGGCCTTTCTCTTCGCTTGAAGTCTTGGAAACGGAGCATTTGCTGCTTTAAGCATTGATCCTGCCTTCTCTGTGAGTCTGCTCCCGCACTGCCATGGCTATGCACAGGAAAATGCAAGCATCCTGACAGGACAACGAACACACACCCTGCTGTGTCACATACGGGCTCTCCTTGAAGCGCTCCGCTTCTCCGGCACCAGCCGAAGCAGCCTGTTGTTTATCCAAAAACGAAGCGGTATGCTTATGCGATGCTTCACTGCCTTGGACATCAGCGCTTTCACATAGCCGATCAGGATTTCGGTCACCTGCCAGTGACTTTCATTGCAACGTGGCCTTCGCACATGGGCGTGGGAAACGTGGCCTTCGCTTCATTGAGCCGGCCCATGGCCTGTCCGGGAATAGAATTCTTTGGCTTTGGCTCTACGCGCAAACGCGTCCGCCTTGACCAAGTCCATGGAACTTCGTCTCCTGGTCTCCTTTGCATGGGGGTCACCGCTTTTTTCGATCTTTTTTCCGTTTTTTTGATATTTTTTTTCTGTTCTGCTTGGTGTCGCTTCGTGCCGCAATTCCTTAGATTGTGCAGCTAGTCAGCATTGGGTCCGAAATATCTGGTTCTTTTTTTGGGTTTTTTTTTTTTGTGTTTTTGCTTGGTCTTAGGAGCAATTGCTGCGGTTTGGTTTTAAGCTATTGCGGCATTGCACTTAGCAGGGTGGCATGTTGCTTCTGTTTTGCATTAACCTGTTGCGGAATTGCACTTAGCAGGGTGGCATTTTGCCGCAAG